CCACCGCTTCCGTAGCCTCCACCCCCACCTCCCCCGCCGTAGCCTCCACTTCCGTTGCCGCTGCCGTAGCCTCCGCTTCCACCTCCGCTGCCGTAGCCTCCACTTCCATTACCACCCCCGTAGCCTCCACCTCCCCGGGGAGGGCCGCCGCCGGCCGTGCCGTTGGGCGGTGGCGCGGGGTGCAGATAGGAGACTGGCCAGTAGCGCGCGCCCTGGTCGCCGGCGCCGCCCTGGTTAGGGTAGGGCTGGTAGCGCTCTGAGCAAGGCCGCCACTGGTCCTGTGCGGCCGACCCCACATAGCACCAGGGGTAGTCGTAGCCCTCCGAGTAGCCGCAGGCGTGTCCCGGGCGGCAGCAGTAGTCCCAGCCGCCCGCCTCCAGGGCGCACGACCAGAAGCCCACGGGGTGCGGCGCGCACAGCGACCGGCACGCCTGGCCCGACACGGAGAAGCGGCGCCAGACGCCCGCCCCCTCCTCGCGGCCCCACAGGTCTGGAAGCAGGAAACGACAACTCGCACTCATAGATCCTTGAGCGCGGGACTCGAACCTGCAGCAGCACCCGCAGTACTCACCGTCGTCGGCGCCCCTGTTGGGCAGCGCGGGCTGGCGGTGACGCCCCTGCGACGGCCGGCTGTAGCCGCGGAAGCAGCGCGGGTCGTCCTCGTTCCAGGCGAACAGCCAGTGAGCAGGGTCGCGGACCAGGTCCAGGCCGGGGCGCAGGTCCCGCATGGCGAGCTCGCTGAGGAAGCAGTTGGGGCCCGGCGCGCCGTCCGGCTCGGAGCGGAAGCTGAGCGCGCTGCAGGGCACGTCGCCCGCCTCCCATATCCGGGTGCACTCCGCCTTGCAGTCCAGCTCGGTGGGCACGCGCAGCGGGCGCAGCACGGCGCCGGGCAGCAGGCGCGCGGGGCCGCCGTACCCCGCGTAGCAGTCTGCCGGGCAGGGGAGGAACGTGAGGGCGGGGTGCAACCCTATCATACCGTCGTCATATCGACAGAATTTGTACTTCTCTTGGAAACCCCGAAAATCAAGCTCGATTAAGCTTCCAACTCCCAATAAACCGGCAGGACAGCGGCACACTGTGCATTGTGACCGAACACAAAAAAATATTCCCTTCGAAAAGGCCCGGCCTCTGTCGGGAAGATTTGTCAGCGCTTTGGAGCGGAGCTGGCAACTTCCTTTCGGCGGAAGGGTGGGCCTGCTCGTTATGGGGGTGCAACATGGTGGGGACGGCCCGCAGTGCCTCGCCCAGGGCGGTGGGCGTTAGGGTGGAACAACGGGACACGTCGGGGGTGAGGGCTGCGGGGTTGCCATCATCGACCCGCCACGCCCCTGCACACGAAGTGTCATCGCCGAATAGCTTTTTGTGGTCGGACACAGCCGTGTGTGTCGAGGAGACTAATGGGCGGCTTGTTGAGCGTGGCGCTGCGGCAGCGGGTCGACACCCTCGCTGCACACAGCACACCCCGATGTGTGTAAGTGTGGAATACTCACGCTGGTCGCGCACGGTGGGTCTGGCGGCCGCGTCCCCGCCACCGCCGGGCTGCGCCCCGGGCCAGGCGCGCCTCCACAGCTCGCAGCCGCGGCCGAAGCTCGATCGCTGGTACATCTCGGCCGCCGGGTCGGCCACCGTGTCCTTCCACGGCAGGATCTCGTCGGAAGGCCAGTCCGACAGCAGACAGTTCTCCGGGGGACCGTCCCGACCCGGCGGGCCGAACCTGAAACGAACGCACCGCGTCAGCAACGCCGTTAGACTAGGGGCCCGTGCGTAGTCAATGTGCACGGGGTAGCTGAGCGAAGTGGGTTTAAGTTTGCCATTGTCTCAGTTGGTTTTTTATTTAACGTTTTTCTGATTTTTT